TACCTCATGGGGATTACTTTGAAGGGGACAAAATAGATATTCATGAATAAATAAATAATTTTTGAAAAAACACAAAATTCGCGATAATTTTTGAACACACTTCGTATATTTTGATATTTTCCGGAAGGTCTTGCTGTTTCAAGTATTTAAATGGCTTCGAATTGCTTATAACTTTATCTAGAAGGCATTTTCATTAGGAATATTTGGAAATATTTTTATATAATTTCAATTTAAATGTTTCATAAAAACTTTTAACTACTAATTTGGTCGGAAACCTACGAAATTTACTCCTAAATTTAATACGATTACATATTTCTCTATATGGAATGCTCTAGTAATCTCGCTTGACGTCAATAAAGGGTAAATATTTTACGCCTTTACTCCTTAAATTAAATCAGCCCATTTTTCTTGCCATTAGCATTCGAATTTCCGGTCGCCAAATAATACGCATCGTCTTACATACCGGCATACGTGCCACTTTTTCATTATTGTAAATACTCTGTATAATCAAAATCGATGCAGTAGCTAATATTAACATAATCACAGTCACTACATGGCCTTTGGCAAGCGTTGAGCCAACGCCAACAGCAAGCAATCAAGTGACTGACGAACCAACCAACTTACTCAACACCAACATACAAACATTCATATGTAAGTAACTTTTTGATCAACTACCAAACACTCGCTTACTCTACACAAGCCTCTTTTTTATTAATACACCAAACTGACCGACTGGCTCTAGCAGCTTTGTGCTGATCGCAATTTCAGCATAACTGCAGGGCGATCAATTAAAATTTTGATCGAATTTTCGTCAATTTGTGTGTGATGCTTGACATGTGCCCGTCGTCAGTCACTACACACGAACGAACACACACCACTACACCACAACGTCATCCACATGATTGTCGCGGGCTGAGCTTCAATCAACTTCATCTGCATCAACAACGGTAGCCGTATGTAGCGCTGTATCAATGTCCATTGATGACTTTAGACCATACGTCCCTGCCTCTGCCCCTCACGTGGACTTGACGTATCAAGCTAAATCATAATGAAAGCTGCTGCAATTCCAACAGATCAATGTAAAAATTTTAACGCCTCCAGCTAAACGCTGACTACGGACGACAATACACCGCTATGCCAACAAAATGTGGCCAACCGACGATCGCTAGTGTGCAGTCACAGCGCCATTACCGCCTATATGCCGGTGCGCCCGTGAGCCCGTGCGCTTGAAAGGGTGGTATATTTTTATTAAAGCGTAAATGAATTTCTGCGGCCAATAATAACTGCCGAAAACGCAAGCCCAGCACTTGTCGCTCCCTCATCAGACGTCCTGCTTGCCGGTCTCTTGGTGCTTTTTTTGCCGCTGCTGTTTCACTGCCGGAAAGATGATTATAACTTGAGATCGATCACTTGATGTCGTTGATCGCTAACTTGATGCGGCTACTGTAGAAAAGAAGTTGACGTACTGCGGCGGCCTGCCAGCCCTGCAGAAATAAACCGAAAGAATGCGTATGAAAAAAAGTACTTTTCGTTTGGCGCTTTTTTGCAAAACAACAATGCCTTTTCGCTGACAGAAAATTATGTAGCGCATGTGTATGCTGAAAGACTTAGTCGCTGGGAGAAAATTGCGTTATTAAATTTCAGTACACGCTTCTCCACTAGTGACCCGCGCACCGTCTATCGATCATACCCGCTTACTTGCTGTCCGAGGTACCCACACTAGCCGTCGCTTGGTTGTGGTATGAGTAGTAGTCGACTTTATTCGACAAGTTTAGCCTTGAGCTATGCAGTGTGTTTGAAAGAAGGTTTAACATTAACTTCATTGAAGTATTTTTCGGCGTAGTGATTAATGTTTATCCGCAGGATCAACAGCGAGATCTTATGCAGATTTCACTGATAGCAGCGTAATCACAATGAAGTGTTGAATTCATAAGAATTGAATGTGGCAATCGGTTGAAATTAGGTGCAGTAGAGTAATACAGACAGACTAAAAATTTGAGACTTACAAGGCATCGACTTAAAGATAAAATCTGATAAGACAGAAGGGCTATTTTTAAGAAAATCACATTTGTCGCTAAAGAATAAGCGTTCTTATTGCGTCAATTTTCATAATCAAGTCATTCGAGATCTTGTTTTTATAATCAAGTCGTAATGGACTCAAGAGTTGGCGAGATCAAACCGTTCAAACCAAGAATTATAGAAGTATTTTTGCTTGTAGCTGGAATAATAAACATTAGAAACCTTCTTTTGTTGATTTATAAAATCTACTTTCGATTATGACTTACTTTATCTCTCATTAGATGAGAGAGATTTTTTCCGAATCAACATCTTTCTTCGGAAAGCGTTCAACCTGATACTTCTTCGTTTTTTGTTAAGTTTCGGTTTTCGTAAAACTAACCCAAAACCTACCCGTTCTAAAACCGTTATATTAATCCGGGAGTATGAAACTGGTATATATACCACTCCAGTGTGTAACTTGTAAATCGGAGTGATATAAATTATTCACAACAAATCTTTTATTTTCCATATATGTAGTTGTTTAGAGACTCGTCTGACTAGCCTTAAGTTCTTTCAACGAAATAGTTTTAATAAAAAGGAGTTCTTGGCCCGAACCGAGATGCTGATTTTTTAGTTGCGAAAACAGAAGAACGTCACGAAATCTGGCGAATATGGTGGTTGGACGATTACGCTTGCTCGTGTTTGGTCAAAATAAAAAGCCACAATCTTGTGGTTTGATTTAAACATTGAAACAGTCGTAGCCCAAACAATTAACCGACATATGCTAAGTCCTTCCGTAAGGGGTGGTGAGATATTCTACTATCTCTCTGATTCCAACACGACGATTTTCAAGCACTGTTTCTTTAATTTTTCGAAACTGTCTTCATTAGCGATGACTCGCATGAGGCAAGATTGCGATGTCCTGACCAGAATTACTGAATGTGTTGAGCCACTCAAATATTTGTGGCTATGATAAAGTGCGCACCCCAAAACACTTCGGCAACAGTCTCAACGATTCCATAGCGATGATACCATTGGAAGCACTAAATTTCAAAATAAACTCATTGATGAAATTTTTTCTATACTAAAAACCGCGAAAGAGGTGAAGATCAAATTTTATAACTTAAAAAGGCTTTTACCAAGCTAAGAAGAATAAAAATAAGAATTATCTACCAGTTTGCTCACACAGTTTATATGGACCAGTCCGGGTCAAATTTGACCAAATAGTATTACATAACAATATTATCTATCTTTTACGTTTATCAATCGTATATTACTTTTTAACTTTTGATAACTATTTTTTTAGATAGCTTTAATTTTTAAAGCATAGTTCAGCTTAATTTTTGGTAGCTTTCAGTCATTCTTTAAGAAAAAATTGAAGAACGTTAACATGAACTTTTCAATAAATTATTTTTTTAAAACGTTTATAATTAATACTATGATCTGTTTAAAGCTTTCATTGCTATCAAAACTTTGAAAAAAACTTTCGGAGCTTTTAAGCTCATTTTATAGCCTTTTATAGTATTAAGCTCTGAAAACACACAATTAAACTTTTGCGCTATTTCAACATTCCTCTCGCTCTGAAGCTACTTTCACATTAACAATCTCCTTAATTCTGTGCTCATTTGCCACAATTAATTAAGTTGTTGAATGCTTATGACTGAAGCACACTGATCTCATTTAACCACTACGAAATGCAGCTTGATGATCTTCAATCATGTACATACATACGTAAATACACATTTAATACACAAATTACAACAAAACATAGTCATATAAGCAAACACCGAACAAATATCCAATTAGAATAATTGGAATACTTTCGAGTAAATTTTGGTTTTTTTTTTTTTTTTTTTTGTGCGCAGTTGACCCAACGGTCACAAGTGAAGGCATGGGAATCATTAATAAAGTTAGATCTAATAAGAAATCTGTATAACGCGGCGATAACTGTGCAGCAAACCGAGTCTTTTCAAGACTTTTATTGAAATAAACGTTGAACATAATGTCTATGTATCGCCCGCAATGCGTAACGAATTTAGCTGCTTTTCCAACACTTTGCAAAATTTTCGCTAATAAAATTATAAATGGATGTTTTTTT